TTTTTGAAGTGAAAACTTCTTTAGCGGCGTTGTACCTACACTTTATTGTAATGGGTAAAAAATGCTAAACTCGCGTCAGGACACGTGACCTGATCTAAAATTCGTAAGACGTTCGTTTAGGCGGCGCAGGGCGCTTGCGCGAATGTTCGTGTGCGTCAAAAATGCACAACGTTAAATATTCAAGTTTTCACTTCTGCCGACACTCCCGGTGTGCAAACCCGTCGTTTTTTTTTTAAAGGTCTACTAGCAACCGAAGTTACTAGTATTCCCGTTAACCCCTCCCGCTAAGCTAAATTGCTTGTGTTAGGAGTGGGTTCACGTCAGTAGTGTACTGGTCAAGATTTGAACCCACCACCTCTTGATCGCAAGTCCAATGCCTTTACCACTAGACTACCGCTGTAAAAATGCTATTTAAATCAGGTATTGGACAATCACTAGACTACCGCTGTAAATGCTATTTAAATCAGGTATTGGACAATCATTTCAAATTCCCTTTAAAAACGGTCAAAAGGTTTTGCAACTTATGAAATAGTAACTGCCGACGTCACATCTTAATATTGTCATATTAAATTCAGTAAAAATAATAAGTTTGTAATAGCAAAGATTGTAATAAACAGAATGGGGTAGATGACTGCCAAGTTTTTTTTTATGCCAGAGGGGGCAGACGAGCCTACGGGTTACCTGATGGAAAGTGACCATCGCCACCCATGAACGTCTGCAACTCAGGAGACACAAACGCGTTGCCAGGTAAAATTAATATTTTTAAACTTCAAATCGACAGACGCGTTACGTTTTTATTAAAATACTACAGCGTGTCATCATACCTGGCTATTACCAAATCATTTATATTTAACTAGCTGACCCAAGGAACATCGCGTGTGTCTCTCAAAAGGAATAAAATATGCCCGTATTTCAACATATTTCATTGATGCACGTATTGACCGTAGCGTAAAGTTATATAGCCCATTACTTTCCTCAATAAAGGGGCTATCCAACACCAAGAAAATTTATCAATTCGAACCTGTAGTTCCTGAGATTAGCACTTACAACCCACCAAATAAACAAAACAAACTCTTCAGCTGTATAATACTAGGACGTAATAATATAGATTAATAGGCACGTTCCGCGCTTGCAGGCCGCTTACACCCGGCACGACACATCCATTTTAAATCTATGATATTCATTTTAATAATATGCTGTAAATGGCAATTTTGTAGATCAAATTGCCATTTACAGCATATCATTAAAATTATATACTTAACGTAAGTAACGTAGGTATTTAATTAAATAAAGAATAATACTGTATGATTTCCTCAACTATAATATGCATGCATATATGTATTACATATAATCCGCCCCTTGCCTCACCTCTCTATTGGTCAAAACCGTATTAGAATCCATTGCATAGTTTGCAATTTCTAAGCGTACAAGAAAAAAAAAAGCGTCTTCCTTTTATACTGTGTAAAGATATTGATTTGAAGATATCAAAAAAACTATACAAGTACAATTCAGGATGTACTTAAAGACATTTAATGATTCAGGCGAAATTAATAACTTTAAACTTAGGAATCTACCCTATTGTTTAAAACAATTATTTTTTTAATAACGTAAAAACAAACTTTGATTTAACAACCCTATTACAGCTCTTCTTCTTTTAAAAAAGTAAATTCCTGCAGTAGAAATATATCCTGCGTTCCGGGGGATTCCACCAACCTTTATGAAAACGGACAGAAAGCACACGCAGACTCAGAACAATTTGTGGATCACTCAAAGTATAGTCCCATGTGGGGATTGAACCCACAACACTCAGCGCAGTAGGAAGCGGCGAGGTGACGCCGTGAGGGTGACCACTACTTCACCCTTGCAGTAAAGTTCGACAAGGTGCAGTATCTGACCAATCATCACAGACTTTATGAAATTATAACGAAGTGAAAATAGGATTTGTTTGAATAAATAAAACAACTATTTTACCAACAAATAAGTTTAGTCAATTAGTTCCATTAACAAACATTACCATTTACTTTTCATTCTTACATTTAAATTTCCTTACACATTACAGCTGTTTTATATCAGAGGTAGATATTGAATTTCAAGGAAGGCAAAGACAAGGCATATATTTTTTAAACACTAGGGCAAAGGCATCATCGCGATCAGCCAATACTTTTTTATATACCTAATATTTTACTAATAATTATTACTAAAAGCGTTTCATTTCAAATTTTATTCAAACTGATTGCATTTTGAATAATAGATATTCAAACCAAATAATTTTCGAATTATAATAAATTTATTCCCTAAAGTAATAAATAGAAATTTAGTTATTTATTAAATGCGTTAGACTCTATTATTTACATAACGAAATTTAGTATTAAAAAAATATATTTTTGGGCGAAATTCACCTAAAAATAAAACCAGATGAGCTGACGTCGTGTACTCACGCTGACCACCCCGGTAAAGGTCGGGAGTTAATTAAAATTAGAACAAATTGCTTGGAGCAAGTTAACCTCCACGTTTTATTTTCCTGCAACTCCCAAGCAGTACATAACTAGTTTAGTACGTAAGTTTCTTACATTTATTTTGTGCTTTGAAACTAAACTTACACCGTTTTGTTATTAATTGACATTTTGTGTAATATTTAACTGAGTTTTATATATACAAAAATATTTCTCATTCTGTCATTTATAGGTCAGTTTTATTCAAAGGAAAAATGGATTATAATATATATATAGAGATATAATCTCTGGATCTTACTTTCGGTTGGCCTCCAGCCGCTGTCCATGGTACATTTACTTTTTTTTTATGTGACACAAGTTCAGATTTGTTTTTTATAATTTATACTGTTTATGCCAGTCGCAGGCAGCGCGTCTATTTACCTACCTACCTACTGATTCAGTCCACTTAGTATAGAAGTCCACAATAATTTGTAAAAGCAGTATTAAAAGGTTTATTTATTTATTTATTGAGTCTTCTTACAAACATATTGCATAAGGCGGACTTAATGCCTCAGGCATTTCTTCCAGTCAAACCTTTGGGTGTTGCTGCTGTGTGTGGCAGGTGTATATTTGGGACAGGTAAGATGAGACTGAATTAAGCCATGTTACAATGGCAGAAAAGAAAAAAATCCTACAGATATATAAGTACTATCCATCAACGTCGTGCGCGACCGTCCTGCGGGGTGACAGACGGTGGCGGGGACGAACTTATTTTATAATTTTCCTGCCTTTTTCCCCGTTTGCGCCATAAGTAGGTTATGTTTTTCAAGGATTACGTAAACGGCTTGATGGATTTTGGCGATTAAGGTGTTGTTAGTTACATCTTAATGGTGAGTGACACTGGGTATTTGACAATCTATACAAATAATAAAATTGGAGTGTCTGTTTGTAATATTAAAATAAACGCTTTTTAGTAAATGCCTATGTATGTTTACACGGTACATATGCCAAAATAAGATTTTTTACAAGTTTTGTCTGTCTGTCTGTTTGTTCCGGGTAATCTCTGGAACGGCTGAACCGATTTCGACGGGACTTTCACTTGCAGATAGCTGATGACATAAGGAGTAACTAAGGCTACTTTTTTAGACTAGCTTCGCCCCGCGGCGTTGCCCGCGGTTATAACAACAAACGTGGGTAACACCGCGGGTCTCAGCTAGTTATAAAATAAATTTCAAAAACACATTTTCCGCAGTTGGATTTGGTTTCCTTTATCAATCATTTGCTTGTTCTTAAAATTAATTGGGGTCGGTTTCTTTACCTTACCACCGTTGGGTGGTAAGGTAAAGAAACCGACCCCAATTAATTTGTACTACCAGCGACCGGTTTCTTCCACGGCCTGAAGGCCCTGTATCCTACTGTGACTGCAGTAGCATGAAAAGTACCTGTATGTTCATTTTGGGGCTGGTAATTTCAATATAAAATTCAATGATTTAATTACCCCAAATGACGAAATACTGACGAATACGAAATTTAAATTAAATTGTCATCAACACAGTTAAACAAAATCGCCATTTTCATTTTTGTTACATGAGGTTTTCGAACTGTCTTTTACGGCTAAATTTCTTTACTACAAACGACAAAATACTAAGAAAGATTTTTTATGTAATAATAATATTTAGGACATCCAAGACACAACGCCATCTAGTTTCAAACTAAGTAGAGCTTGTACTATGAAAACTAGATTGACTGATAAAATACTTTTATAATACATACCCATTACACATAGAAAACACCCAAACTCCGAAACAAATATTTGCAGATCATACAAACATTTGATCCGACTCTGAATCGAACTCGAAACCTCAGCACAGCAGTCGCATACGCTACGACTGAGCCACCGAGGCTTTATGTTTGTGATGTTCTAGTAACTTTTAAATTATGCAGACTTACTTTGATATATTGAAGTTAGATTGTATTGGACTAATTGAAATACAACCTAACTACAGTATTTCGAGATTATTTGAATTATATGTGTATACAGAAACCTTTATAAACAAATATCAGGATTAACCTTAATTTTGTATGTAAGTGCTGCCTTGAAAGTGCTTTAAGAAACTTGAAGTAAAAAAGTGCTTTCAAGAATGAACGATATGACAGGAACTCATTATGTGAGTTCAGCTTTTATAGCTAAATTCATTGATATTTAAAATAATTTTTCAATTGCCGCTTCTATGCTCATATATTTCATTCGCTATTCCTTTAAGAAAGAATTTAGAGATTAATAAATGAAAATAAAACCATTTGAGGCTCAATTGTAAAAAAAAAAAGTAGAATTAGTTTGGTTTTTAAGTTATTTTTAAGTTAACAAAATTTTGCAACCAAAATGATTATATATTTTAAACAAAAATCAGCAAGTAAAACGTCAACATAATAATGCAAACATAAATACTGTTCACCAGTGCAATTTAATAAATAAAACTAAGTACGTAATACAAGCTACAATGGACAATGCAGTTCTGAACTTTCACAATTTCAATCCACGAACGTCCACAAACTTCACAACAAACATTATCTTAAACTATTAGCCTTGTACTGCTCATAAATATCCTGGAACATGTCCCTACAGTTCATCTTCACCTTCAACTTGGAACAGAGGAGGAACACTCCAGACAACTTTCTGTGTAAAGAGTAAATTTCCTCTGGTGGGGGACATAATCTGTGTGTGAGTATAGTAGGGACGAGGGCTTGGATCCGTTTGGTGGTTTGCTGGGTACCGAAGTCGAATTCTCCAGAACTACTGGTGAAGACCTCGCCCATGATCATTACGGTGTCCACGTGAGTTTGTTCCATTATCTGTAAAATAGAAATATAAATATTTAATCAGCGTTTCAATGATTTATTCTTCGGGGTTCTCAATGAAGATCCAAGTGTACAATAGGCTAGTTGACTCAATTTGAAAACTTGGTTAATTATAAACGTTAATGTCTATTTTATCCCAAAAACCTATGTTTTAAAGAAAAAGCAATATTTACATTACGTATTTTGTATTTAAAAAAACAATTTAAATTTCCCTTGAAAACGCTGAATAGTGTCATGGCGTATTGAATGACGTCACAGCCTGCGAAACAAAACTGTATTAAGGTGAGACAATATGCTAAAAACGAATAACAATAAGGAGTAACCTGCTCTGTTGTACGAAAACTTCAACAACAACAATGATGTTTTGCGTGCGTGACGTAACACTTTCTGATTTTTTTAAATATTAGATAATAACCTTTAACTTTTATGAGAAATAGACTTGTTTTTTCTTATCTATGTCTCTTCATTTATAATTTGAAACTATAAACAAAGCAATGGACACAAGCCTATTTAAAATTATTGAAGTAAACGAACACATGGACTTGGGCTGTTGGTCTAGCCATGTCTAGTAATAAAAAATAACTTGGTACATCTTAAACACGATGCACGCATTGCCTGAGGTACACCAAAGGTTTAATATTCTGTTGAGTGACGGAAAAAGGCGGCTGAAGGTAATTCATACTTCCATACTTGTATTATAAATGTTTGTTTGTTATGCTTTAACACCTAAACCACTAAACCGATTTGATAAATTCTTTAGCTTCAGCTATATTATCCAACTCAAACTAACTTTATTTAATAAAAAAAAACCTTTGAAATCGAAAGTCAATAGCAACAATCGGTTTTGTCAATCGGGTTTGTTCAAGATCGTGAGGATGGCGATTTTATGCATCTGTGGGTCATTATGCTTTAGATTTTGTATATTTGTCTGTTCAATAGGATTAAGTAGAGTGTATATTATTATTTTTATTACCTTGGACTCATAGCCGGTAAGAAACTTCATGTCCCGCGACATTCGCAAGATGGCGTCTCTATCGCCACAGGAAGCCGCGTGAATTATTTCAATGTACGTATCCATAAATTCCTTCGAGTACACCCGAGTAGCGCCAAAGTCGAGGAGAATCACCTGAAATTAACAAACAATTAAAAACTTGCCTCCGAGCCTTTCTCACAAACTAGGTTGGGGATACGGCTGGACTTCGATTCTTTACTACCATCAGAACTCCATAACCCAAGTACTATAACTCGGCAATCTTGTGCGCGACCGTCCCGCGGGTGACAGACAGTGGCGGGGGCGAGGTAGCGCGTCTAACTAGCACACGGCTACACACGAAGAGAAGCGTGTCCCTTCCCCGCTACACCACCCGCTACCCGCTGACATCTCGAGTACCTCGTCCCCGCCACCGCCTGTCACCCCGCAGGACGCTCGCGCACTACGTTGATGGACTATAGGTTAGGCGATATCGAGGTTCTGTAGAAAACCTGTAGTCGGACTTTATAAGGCTCAACTACCCGTAAAGATTTCCACAGATGTTCGTATAGTCATCGGTACCGACGGCTTAACATGAGGGGTCTCGATATGTTAAGGAATGGTCACCCATCTGTAGACTGACCTCGTGAGGATTGCTCAACTTTCAAATGTGCTACTCGGTTACCACTTAGACACGAGTTCAAAACAATTAAAAAAACAGTATTACTTGTAATGACTACGGGAATCATTATGACTGAAGTTTCTATTAGTAAGACAATTTTTGGAACGAGGTTCTTTATCGCGCGTTACACTGAGCAGATAGGAGCAAGGCCGAAAAAATGTGTAACAAGAATTTTTTGCAACACTTCTTGTCTCAGATCATTCAGTGTTTAATTTATTATCATTTATTTTATTCATAATTAATATATTTTTCATAAAAATTTCAATTTAACTCTATTATAAATTATAATGACTGTATACCAAACGTCTACCAAAAAGCGAAAGGAACTTCGTTCGGACCGAGGGTTCATAGACCCCTCACGAAGTGTTTTGCTAAATTAAGTTATTTTGAGATTATGTGGGACTTAGTGGATTCGACGTTCTCTTTAAGTAATTCGATATTAAAGCAGTAATATAGAACAGTAACTAAATATATCAGTAGATATTAGAACAGTTGTTTTAATTTTTAATTTGGTTCACCAACAACCATTTTGTTTAGATCATCAGACATAATATAATATCTATTAATATGATAAAACGGAAGATTTTGTTTATTTGTTTCAGTTAATCTCAAGACCTACTGGATCAAATTAGAAAATTCTCTTCAAACAATAGAAGCCTCAATAGTAGGATCAATGCAAAATGTAGCAAAAAGGGAAAAATTTGCTTCTTATCAGGGACGCAACGTTGTGTGGGTAAGCTAATATAATAATTACATTTATTAGTCAGAATATGGGTCGTTAGTAGTTACATTTTAGATGCCAGCCATTTTCTGCCATATCATCATCAAATCAGCAGATAGACGTCCACCTCCGGACGGAGACCTCCCCCTAAGGCTCTATATAACAACCATTCCTATGTTTTCCGCATCCAAACAGCTTCCCGAGGACCTTCACCAGGTCGTCGGACCACCTTGTGGGGCCAACCCACTTGTAGAACTTTTTGGCCATTCTGCGAGCAGTATGCCGTACCCACTGCCACTTAAATTTGATAATTCTCCGGGCAATATTGGTAACCTTGGCTCGTCTGTGGATCTCTTGCCCCTAAAACATTTGCGATATCGGAACGTGTATCGTATGATAGATAACATACCTGCTTCGTAGCTGGATTGTAGAAGAAGTTAGCCCAATTGGGATCAGTCTGCATACACCTCAACACAAACATCTCTCTGAGGCACAGCTGCATGATCTTGTATGCGATGTCGATGCGAATCTCGTAAGGCGCGTCGAACAACTTGTCCAGGGGGACTCCCTCTATCAACTCTGTTGTTATCACCTCTTGAGCACACAGCTCGTCTGGAACATAAAAATACATTTGACGACCGGATGGCGTAGTGGTTTGTGTAACGGACTGTTATTCCAAAGGTCGCGGGTTCGATTTCCGCTCAAGTCAAACATTTGTGTGCATGAACATTTGATGTTTGATTTGATCTGGGTGTTCTATGTATAATGTGTATGTATTTACAAAAAAAATTAGTATATATGTATTTATATCAGTTGTCTAGTAGCCATAGTACAAGCTCTGCTTAGTTTGGGACTAGATGGCGTTGTGTGTATGTGGTAGAATATTATTATTATTATTATTTAAACTTTTAATACATGTTAAAAAGTGTAGTGTACCCTTACACTATTCTCTTTGGTTGGCGTGTTTTCTTCAATTTCTACTGCAAGATTGTATATCCAAGTTTAATTAAACCTTATATTGTTCTTGAAGTGTTTGTGAATTATCCTTCTGATATCATCAACAACCTTTAATAGTCCACTGCTGGACATAGGCCTCTCCTTAAAAAGGAGGTTTTGGCCTAGTACTAGATTACTTAGGTAATTATATTGTGTGGTACAGCGGTTCATGAAAACTTAAAGATGTCACATAAATGAGTGCTGCTAGCGCCATCCTATAATCATATTCTTAAACTGTCGGCTTAGAGTAGGACATTCTATACCAAAGACATATAATGTATACTATATGTATAGAATTATAAAAGGCACAACAGGATATTAAAAAAAGAATTACCTATAACATCAGGCACAAAGTACTCAGGGTACGGAGCCAGTAGTTTCTTGAACTTCCTCGTACACTCAGCCTCACGAATGTAGTCCACCTCCCATGCCAGCTCCTTCTTTGCCACCTCTACAATATTGTCTATGAACATACCCTTGGGAATATGTTCCATACCTATGAAATAATATATTATAATATATTAAAAAAACCGGTTTGTGTTACTTTTGAAAAGGTTGCATTATAAACTGTAGTTTATTGGCGAAATAAATAAATAAAAAAAAGTATGGTGTGGTTTTATGAAATCAGCGATGCGAGCGCCGCCATATTGGCCTAGGCCGTTTGGCCGGCTGTAATGCGACATGCGATAGATGGACGAAAAAACTGAGGCGATGGAAAAAAGTTTGACTTTAAAAAGTAAAAAACCCGACTGCGTAGTATTCGATTTTATTTTTTATAATTTTTCTTATACTCAGAGTCACACTCACAATCAAGACGAATCTAACGACACTTCAAACGTCAAAATGTTTAAGCCGTTTAGCGTACCAAAGAATAAACACACATACACTAGACAAAATAACCCTCCGCAGTCGGGTAAAAATAATTTCTCTATCCTATCCCCTTCATCATCAGATTATAGTTACAACGAAATGTATTGTATGAGTTTAAACTCCAGGGGTTTATAGGAATCCACAGAAATTTCAATTTTTATCTCCTGGCCTCGTCATCAGATCAGCTTCAAAACGTCAAAATATAGTATTGTCATTTAAACATATGCATACACGCACGTATGATACGATATGTGTGATAATTAGAAATAGGTCAAAGTGACTTGTAAGATTTATTTACAAGGTAACACACACTCACTCGTTCACGCACACGCACACGCACACGCACACACACACACGCACACGCACACGCACACACGGACATTTTATTCACTACAAATATGCGTATGCACATTCAGGTTGTAAATGACAACTAACCTCTTAATATATTTCTACCCAAGATGAAAATTGGTCCGAAGATTTAACAAGTGTATACGCTGGGAGAGCCCTAGTACCCGTAACGCAAGTTCGATTTCATCATGGGTACCATAGTTCCATTGACTCTACCATAAGGTTTTCTATTGTACACATTTTTATGCCCATATAAGATTGTTATTGTATAACCTTTATAAGAAATAAATTTATTATTATTAATGGGCCGGCTCGAACAGAGTGTAACCACGGCCTCACAGAAAACTGGTATTAAGCGATTCTTTGGTGGCTTATCACCGAGTGGGTGATGTGAACAGATCCCAAACTCCTCTCTCAGTTGTAGGTAGCCCTTAATATAATAAAAAAAGGTACCATCAGCATGTCAACTGCCTTACCTTCATGACTCCAACCAAATTATCAATGTCACTATTAATGCCTTTAGCCACACCAGGGTATTGAACTTTCATGGCCACCTCCTGACCACTGTGGAGTACGGCTAAATGCACTTGACCTGAAAAGAAACTCATCTGTGAAATTCTAGTTCGTAACTTTGCCAAGTGAATTTGACACTTTAGGAAGTCGTGATAGAAGTGATGACGAATGACGGGCCTGTTAGACCCTGCTAGACCCACAGGCTGTTAATGATCCTGACTGCTTAGCTAGTGGTCGTTGATTCGACTTTTTTTTAAGTTAAAGGGGGCAGACGAGCAGACGGGTCACCTGATGGAAGTGAGCATCGCTGCCCATTAACGTCTGCAACTCAGGAATCACAAACGCGTTGCCGGCCTTTTAGGAAGGAGTACGCTCTTATCTTGAAGGTTTGAAGGTCGTTTGGACTTCGACACAGAAACAAGTACTGTGTGATGAACCACGACTTATTGGTCGGTCAGGGTGTAATATATCCATAATATGTATGTATTTAGAAATATATAAGTATGTTTACTTAGAAATATATGTGCCCGCTTGACTGCAATAGGCTAGGTTCTATTACGTAATTGAGACTAATTCAAGAGCAAAATGTAGGCGTTTTATTCACCTCTGTCTACCTCTACAATTAAAAAGACGTGAGGTTTAAAGTGGTCCGTGTGGTGACGGATTAAGAATATGGATTGTCCCCACCCCCATTCATCCCGTGGGTGTTGTAAGAGCCGACTAAGGGAACAAACTACGCAGGACAACAACACTGCAAAGAGAAGGAAAACTTGACACAAACCCTATACCAACCGCTCTGGCCAGCGTGGTATAGTAGGCCAAAACCTCCTTTCTAAGGAGAGCCCTATGTTCAGTAGTGGACTGTTAAAGGTTGTTGATGATGATTGATGAGTTGTAAAGTTGAAGAAAGTAGTGCTGATGAGGTAAGAAAGTTTTTTTTTGTAATAAAGGGTTATTATCCAGAAGGATACGCCAACCCTATCGTACCCTATCATAAACAACACAACTTTTTTTTTTAAATTTTGTAAATAAAAGGCTTTACGACTATGAAAAATACTTTACGACCTATTCTGATATCTACCAAATTTACATATTTTTATTATTAAAATCAGTTTCGGAGTAGTGCGATCGCAAACACACACACACTCACACACACACACACACACACACACACACAAACAAAATTCTTTTTTTATTTGTTGTAACAAATTCTAACAATTTTTTTTATAATAGCATACAGTAACTCTCATATTGCGCTCGCATATTAGAGTAGAAGTGAGCACAATATTATCATCTCGCTTCGACAATTTAAGACCGAAACTGCAATGAGTAATATTTTTCGTTTATTAAGGACAACTCCCGCAGTAGGAATATATCCAGTATCGTGGAGTCTTTACAGACATACATGAAACAAAGACAAAGTATTATCCCATTTACTAATCGCAGTAAGAGGCGGTGAGGGGACCACCACTAAACCACTACACCATCCGTGCAGCACCATCAGTAATTACACTATAGTCACGTGAGATCCACCTACTGTTAATACACAAATGTCTTACCTATCGAAGCAGCTGCGAAGGGTTTGTCCTCAAAACTAGCGACCATGTCCCGCCAATTGGGCCCTAGTTGTGACGTCATCACTTTGGCCACTTGCCACGAGGGCATGAAGTCTGCCGACTGCCTCACACGTTCGAAGATGCGTTGTAATTCTGGTGAGATCACGGCATCGTCTTGCAGGCTAAGCAGCTGGCCTAGCTTCAAGGCGGCTCCTGGAAACATTTAATGTAAAATATTTGTGTAATAAATTTATATATCTAAATATGTAAGTAATAAAACCGCAGTTTTTAATATTATTACAATTTCTTTTATAATTATTACACTAGATAACCGCCTCGGCATCCCAACGGGTCTAAGTCTATCGCTGTTCTTTATTTTTTCTTAGGATAGTAAAAATAAGGTTTTATTATTAATGTATTAGGCACGGGATAAAATCACAATCAACTAAGATTAATCATATGATTCTCAAATCATTTTATCACACCTGTGACTCATCAGGAACATCACTGTGACTTATTATTATTATTACGCTAACGCCAGACTCGCGTTAGGTCTAAATTTAAAAAGAAAAGACGGTTTGATTGATTGTGGCGCCATTTATCTTAGACTATGACCGAATGTAAGTTGTGATTTATCACAGATGAAATCACAGCGAATTAGTAAATCATTTCATTAAATGAATATGATTTAAATGTAGCAATAATTTCAATGTACATGATGTATATCTGAATCTTCATTGAAAATCGCCGCATGTTGAGTGATTTAAAAGGAGTTAGCGTATATACAAACAGGCACATAAAGCAACTTCGTTTTGTATGAAAGGATATTGTTGTGATAACAAAGATTTTTTAATAAGTAGACAAAGGTTTATAGCTAAAGAAATAAATCTAAATATTGGTTCATTATGTTCTGGTACACTTGGGATATATCCGTCTATTAAGGTCAGATATTACAGCTTAGAATTATTAATGCGTTCTACAGCTGGTCGGATCTGCTTAAAATATGACATTATTTCTTTATTAAGAGTTGTCGTGTTTATACATTTAAATGGTAAAAAATTGTATGAATAAACAATGTTAAATAAAAGTGTAACAAATACTTTATAGGCAAATGAAAAAATCTATATATATAAAAGAAAGTCGTGTTAGTTACACTATTTATAACTCAAGAACGGCTTTACCGATATGGCTGAAAATTGGTGGCGAGGTAGCTTAGAGCCAGGAGACGGACATAGGTTACTATTTATTCCGTTCGACAGTGTTTTTTTTATTTGTTTTTTTACGAACTTTGTTTTTTTACGAACATCCATGTTTTTCCCATGGTCAATTATATGTGGCATGTTCACGAGTCGGAAGACTATCTGCGTTGTATGTTTTTGCGCCTGATAAGAGAACAAAAAATGTCGTGTATCACAAGGTACTTAAGTGAAGAGCAACCTATGTACTGAAATGCAGAAACAATAATAAATGATTAATGTACTTCATTTTTTTTTCTAAGAAATAAATTAACGTACTAAATTCGAAAATCGGCTTATTTATTGCCTTTAAGGCGGACAGAGTTCGCCGGGTCAGCTAGTAAGTTATAAAACTACACAGAACAAAAGCACTGCAGATAAAGGAAAACTTGACACAAACCCTATACCTACCCATCTGGCCAGTATAGCAGGCCAAAACCTCCTTCCTAAGGAGAGGCTTATGTCCAACAGTGGACTATTAAAAACTGTCGATGTGAAATTACAAAATAATAAATGCAGAATCAGAATAGGGTCTCGCTTACATTTTGTCTATGATTTAAATCTTATTAACATAGGTTTCTTATATAAAGTTTGTTACTAAAACTAACATAAAACTAGTATATGACTATTTAAATGTGCAAGAGTGAAGAAAAAGGTAAAATCAAAATATTACAAATTGTTTTGTGCTGGGGTGTCTAGACCTGTCATGAGAAATTGATACAACTATTAATACAATATTAATACAATATGTTTTGACACTTTCTCCAGCTAGCATTTTCTACTGCGAGAGTATCAAAAGCACTAGATTGATTTTCCAACCTTGAGAGGATAGAAGGGTGTTATTCGGTACCAAAGGGTTATTTAGTGTAACCCAGAGTTAAATACGCTGGGTCATACATATTAAATGTTTACAAAAATTGCATTATAAAAAGTTTTGACTGTCTCTTTTTACAGCAGCCTGCTGAACGAAATCTTGGAAACATAAAATTGAAAGGTCAGACGAAGGAAAAAGATAAATTGGCATAAAGACTACTAAGGTAAGGGATAAAACAAATATTGGATGGGTATTGGTTGTGGGACTCCGGTTGCCGCAATTTAGACTCAAGATGGTCCTCTATGCGTCGAGGAAAGGTTGGCTACGCGAGGCAACCAGGCTCCGTCCAGAAGCGCAGAAGCCTCCTAGGGCGTACAGAAGCTTCTAGGAGCGATTTGTATCACTCAATGAATATTGGATGGGGAAACAGGACTACACAGGACAGAAGACTTCTCGAATTGGCCTGCCCAAAGAGGCTCGTATGTTCGTACCGTGGCAGTAGCCACTTATTTATTTATTTATTTATTTATTAACTTTATGCACATAAGTACAATGGCGGACTTAATGCCATAGGCATTCTCTACCAGTCTACCTTAGGGTGGTGTGGAAATGAGTGTGGTGGTGCACTACCCTTTGGTTGAGAATTATAAAGTTGACATAAAAGAAGTAATGATAGCAATACTGAGCAAAAAGCAATGAAATAATATAAAAATACCAAACGTATACATACAAGAATACACATACATAGATACTTATATATATTGTGTTATATATATACACATACATATATACCATAATATATAAAGTCAGGTACTTACTATCAGGTGAGAGGTAAAACCACTCTATTTAATTTTATTGCCTCTTACCTCTAACTTTACACAGTGTATCTACAATCCTCTCGGCGTTGGCCGGCGTCCATGAAAGCGTTTGCCGACTCATCCGCTTTCCCCGTCACAGACTGGATCGTGTTCCTTGCATACTGGGCCACAGTGCCAACCCCTAGACCTGCAGCCAACGACCCGAACGATATCATGCGACCGATGCGGGAGGAGGGCACGACGCGTGCCTTTGAGTTTTTCGCTTAGCTGTAAAGGTAGCAAAATATTATAAACCTGGTTTTGAAAAGGGGTATTATTAATTAAACTACATACTTCAGAATATTCATCAATAGCATTTAGTAGTCGAAGAGATAATATAATAGAGGGAGTGAACTGTATATTCCTCTGTAAGTGGTAGCGTACGGTTAGACAGAGAAAGAATATTGTTTTGGTCTCGCATCTCTCTCTACACTGATTGGATGATACTGACTAAAAGGGTTTTAAAGTAATGGATCAGTTACAAGAGCAGAGTGAGATGCAAGGCCAAAACGGTCTTCTTTCTCTCTCTACCAACCGTATGCGATAGCGCCTTATTCACACACACATACATCAAGCGCCTTATTCGCTTCCTCTATATTTATAAGCACTTTGAGTATACCACCCTGGCCAGACGGGTTAGTTTAGGATTTGTTTCAAGTTTTCCTTCCCTTCGCAGGACTGTTGCCCTGCGTACTATAGCACACATAACAAAAGTTTTTATGTATTTATATCTCTCTGCCTCGGTCGTGCAGTAGTAGCGAATGCGACTGCTGTGTCCAGGTCTCAGGTTCGATTCCCGGGTCGAACCAAAGGTTTGTATGATCTGCAAATATTTGTTTCGCAGTTTGGGTGTGTTTTCTACGTATAAAGGCTGTAGTCAGGCTTTAACTGACTTACGATTGCCACAAATGTTCGTATGGCAACCGGGACTGACTGCTTAACTTGGTCTCCGAGGCAAGGAATGTTTCGATATAAGTGGTAACTCCGAACCCGAATGGTAATAGGTTTGCCACTTATCACCAAATTCTAGTTGGCAAAGACGTGAAATCATGAATATATTATGTTCTGTAACCTGTCTGGTGATGACTCAATGTTTGGCATACTGGCGATAACATTGTCACATCCTAGTATGACAGTTGCTTATGCATCTATGAGATCATCATACCAAAACGATGCATTAGCTGGACGTAATTAAATGAGTAATTTATAGTATTGTATTATATATAAGTTGTATTATATGTTAGATATAATAATAAAACTTGACATATGTCACACACAGCTGTCTGATCCCAAACTAGGCAGATCCTATGCTATTTTAACCAGACTGGCTGATATATTTTTTCTAAAGAGAACTCCCGCGTTATCCTGTGTCGTGGGGGACTTTACAAACATACATGAAGCGGACACAAAGAACACCAAGTCTCAGAAGAACAATTTGTTGATAACACAAAGTGTCGTCTATATTCAAAGCTCCGTGTGGTGACGGATTAAGAATACAGAGTGTCACCACCCCTATTCATCCCGTGGGTGTCGTAAGAGCCGACTACGGGAAAAAAACTACGCATAACAACATCACTGCAGAGAGAAGGAAAACTTGACACAAACCCTATACCAACCCGTCTGGCCAGCGAGGTATAGTAGGCCAAAACCTCCTTTCTAAGGAGAGGCCTATGTCCAGCAGTGGACTAGTATAGGCTGTTGATGATGACAAAGTGTCGTCCTAATGTGAGGATCTAACACTCAGCGTAGTGGAAGCGGTGTGGGCAACCGCTTAAACCACTACGCCACCAGTCAAATATTAAAGTATATATTACACATATTGATAAATTATACTCAGACTTAAAATAAATTCTTTCTTTCTTCTTTCTTTTTAAAAAAAGACAACTCCCGCATTAGGAATATATCCTGTGTCGCGGGGGACTTTACAAACATACATGAAACGGACACAATAGAACACCAAGACTCAGAACAACAATTTGTGGATCACACAAAGTGTTGTCCCATGTGGAGCCCGAACCCTCAACACTCGGCGCAGTAGGAAGCGGCGTGGCGACCGCTTAAACCACTGCACCATCCGTGCAGTCAAATAATCGTATTCATCACATAATTACTTGTCCTGCGCTCGAATCGATACTATAACCTCTGGCACAGCACAGCAGTCACTCTCACACCTCTGTCAGATGACCTACCACTAGACCAACCAGCTAGTCTAATATACTGAAGAGAGTACTAAGATCAGGGCCTCAATTCTACTATTTTATATTCACGCCAAGCCACTGTCATACCACTGACACGCTATTGAAATGCCATCGAGTGGCCATTGGCATCGGTATAATAAATAGTCTACACTAACTAAACAACATTTGTTGTTTACAGCAACGATAATTCTACTAATTACGGTGTATTATGTCATTGCAGTTTATACATTTGTATCAATAAATAAAAAAATAGCGTGTCAGTGGTATGACAGTGGCTTGGCGTGAACATAAAATAGCAGAATTGAGGCCCAGGATGCGTTTTCACGGGTGTGTTGAAGCGACAGTAGTGAGTTTTTAGGTTATTTTCTGAATTTTGGCATATAATTTCATATTGTGTTTTCGTAATAGTGTTTGTGTGGTTCTGTGGCAGGAATATTCCTTAACAAGGTTAGTGAATATTAACAACCGCGCTCATTTCTACGGAAATGAGCGCGGAAGACCCCCCTGATGGGGGCGGTGTGTTACCCCCCGATAAACCCAAAGCTATAAAGCGACAATCGGACTCAGTCTTTCCCGTTGACTTCGATGGAAAGAAAATACGTTCACCAGCTGAATCGATTCAGTCAATTTTCTCAAACACCTGGATTTGAGTCTGATTCCAGGCTCGAATACTCGGCATCAGACAAGGGTCCATATTCTGTGTATGTTTCTAGGCTTGAACCTGATCCATCATCCGGCCTGTCCCTTAAGGCACTCAAACTCGCCCAGTTCTTATACAAAAACAAAATACCTGATATTGTAGAGGGAACCATTAAAAATATGGGTCGTAACAAAGTCTGTGTGGAATTTGTGTCCGCTATCTCAGCGAATAATTTTGTTAACTCCCCAATTGTCAGACAATATAACTATGTGGCAAATATTCCTCGCTTCCAAGTATTTCGTATGGGTGTTGTTAGGGATATCCCTACTGAGGGGACTCTAGAGGAACTAGTATCTGGAATATCTGTCCCTAAGAATTGTGGCGAAGTTGTTCGAGCTAGACGTCTTAATGTTAAGAATAAAAAGATGGAGTATCCGTTTGGGTCCCATCGAACTCTGTGGTCCTAACTTTTCTAGGACAGAGTCTGCCAGAAAAATTTTTTGTTTTAATGCATCATTGCCAGTGTCGCTTTACCAGTTACCTACCATACAATGTAGGAATTGTTGTCGGTTCGGCCACATTGCCAAACAATGTAGGTCCCAGCCCCGCCTGCTATAAATGTGCTCAGCCCGCATTCTGGTGACTCCTGCCTGGTTCCTGACTCGGAGATATCTTGTTTTTTATGTCATGGTGGTAGCCATTGTGCTACTGATAACAGATGTCCCGACATAACAGACAAAAATCCATCAAAAGTGTCATGTCTCAGGAAAACCTCAGCTATATGGAAGCATCAGCTAGATTTCCACAGTTTGCCAAGGCGGCTATATTCTGAGGCTGCTGCCAGTCCCAAATCCCCTGCTAATTTCCCTCTAAACCCTCAAACTCATCCATCATCGTACCTCTCCCATCTGCTTCTCCCTCTAAATCATACAAAAAAAACAGTTAACCTTCCCCCTCGCCGTATATCTATGTCTGGGAAGACATATGATATTCATGGCCATAATGCAATTACTCAGTCCCCAACTTCTATCCACCCTAATGGTTGTTGTCTTATCCCCCCTACTGAAACAACTCCTCTTGCTACTCCTAATGACAAATCTTGTACAGCTCCTTCTTTGCTCTTTAATTAATATGCTGTCTAAAATGTCAGATGCCTTACCGTACGACGTTGCAGTTCTTGTTGAACAACTACTTTCTGTTATCACAAAAAATAATGCTTCCAATGGCTCTCCAGGTCCTCCAATGGAACTGTAGGAGTATCCGACGTAACAAACAAGATATCTCTTACTTGATCAATCAACATAAACCTGTTGTTTTGCAGTTTCCGAAACGTGGTTAAAGCCTGAATTCCATTTTAGAATTCCTGGTTTCTCTTGTCTTAGGGACGATAGAAGTGATGGTTATGCTGGTTGTGCCTTATTGGTCAATAGGAATATTACATTCTCTCTAATCTTATTACCAAACCACTCTCTTGGCTTAAATATAGTGGCCCTTAGAGCTTTTAATGTTTCCTTTGTCTCTGTCTATATTCCCCATCCCAACACAAGCATTCTTCTTGAATTAAAAACAATTCTTTCAACAATCCCCTCCCCTATGATTGTTTAGGAGACTTTAACTGCCGTCACACTCTATGGGGATCTCACTGTATTGACTCATGCTCCTCTGTCTTACTTGACGTTATGGATGATTGCAACTTGTGCATCCTTAATGATGGATCTGCAACTCGTAGAGTCTCTCCATGCCAAAATATTAGTGTTCCAGATTTAACACTATCTTCTCCTTCCCTAGTCTCCTCCTATCCTGGTCCCCCCTGCCAAACTCCCTTGGTAGTGATCACTTCCCTATTTTAATCTCATACTCTACTTCATATGTTCCCCAAACCCTACATCCCCTCCTCAAATACAGAGTTTCCCAAGCCAATTGGGAGCAAATTTGCAACATCACTAGATCTAAATTTAACCACTCTCCCCCAAACAAATTCCTTTAATTTTCTTGTCCTCTATGACCAATTTATCTCTGCAATTAACTCAGCTGCTGATTGCTCTATTCCCCTCAAACTTCCTTCCAATAAATTGACTGCTTCTCCCCCTTGGTGGGATTCTGAATGTACTGCCAGTGTTAAGAAGCGCAGGGAGGCTGAGAACAAGTTTGCTGCATCCCTTTCTATGTCGGATTTCCTCAATTTTAAAAAAATTGCTGCTAGCACAACCAGACTTCTTTCTGCTAAAAAATCTTTAGGATGGCGTTCATTTTGTGAGTCCTTATCTCCTCGCTCTAGTCTCTCACTTGTCTGGAAAAAATTCAAGTCATTCCGAAAAAGTCTTGACGTAACAAATATCTCTAGCAATGACCCTCATTCATTCCTACACGACTTCCTTAGCCAACTGGCTCCTCATATGCTCCAGGTTTCGATTGTTTCCACCTTCCCATCCGTTTATTCCAGATTCCTCTCAAAATACCATGGATGATCCCTTCTCTTTCACAGAACTATCCGTTGCTCTAGATAATCTCCATGATTCCTCTCCCGGCATTGACGGTATCCCTTACTCTTTTATTCGTAAATCCTCCAATTCTTCCAAAATTTTCTTCCTCAGTATCCTCAATGCCATCTTTTATTATGGTCAAATACCTGAATCTTGGAAGACCCAAATTGTCATTCCTGTCCTGAAACCTGGTAGAGATCCCAGAAATTCGTCTTCCTATCGCCCTATTGCGCTCTCCTCAGTACTAGCTAAAATAATGGAAACCTTAATTAAATTCAGACTCGAATGGTTTCTAGAACACAACGAATTGTTAGCCAAAAACCAGTATGGCTTTAGAAAAGGTTTAGGCACTTTAGATAGCCTCAGCATCCTCTCCTCTGAAATTCGCCTTGCATTTCTCGTAACGAGAATGTAATCGGTGTTTTCTTGGACATCTCTGCAGCCTATGACAACGTACATCTTCCTCTTCTCAGGCAGAAAATGCTACATCTGAGTATTCCAGCGAGGATGGTTCACGTCATCTGCAATATGCTCATGTGTCGTACTATCTCTATTCGTCATCAAGGTTCTTTTCTCCCTCCTCGTCTTGTATGGAAGGGCCTTCCGCAGGTTCAGTGCTTAGTCCCATTCTTTATAATATTTATACTTTCCGACCTAGACCAGTCTGTCAGTTCTTTTTGTAAAGTTCTTCAATATGCTGATGATGTTGCCATATATTTTTCGTCATCCTCCTTCTCTACTGCCACTTCCCGTTTGAATTCCGCTCTTTATTATTTAAACGTTTGGCTATTGGACCACAATCTTTCTCTGTCTGTTTCTAAATGTAGTGCTCTTGTTTTCTCTCGCAAACGTAATATCCTGATATCAACCTTTCTGTTGCAGGCGAACTAATTCCAATAAAAGATTCCATAAAGTTTTTAGGCCTCATTCTTGATTCTAAATTATCTGGTATTCACCATCTAAACCATGTTATTAAAAAGAGCGAGGGGGGTGTGAACGTTATGCGGGCCTTATCTGGGGTCCGCTGGGGCTCTCACCCCTTTTGCCAGAAACTTTTGTACAATGCCATAGTTCGGAGTCACTTTGATTATGGTTCTTTCCTTCTGGAACCATGTAATAGAGTTGCTCTGTCTAAGCTTCAGCTGATCCAGTCTAAGTGCCTTCGAATCATAACTGGTGCTATGAAATGCTCTCCAGTGAATGCCCTCCAAGTCGAATGCTTGGAACCTCCCCTTCATCTTCGCCGCCAATTCTTAGCTGACAGATACTTCTTTAATGCAGTCCAAATTAATTCCCATCCCCTCTTCCAATTCTGTCTCAACTTTCTAGTCTGGTCACTATCTCATTGTACTGGAGACACAAGTCCCTCCCTTTGCTCCTTAATTCCTTTATAAAAATGAAAAATCTATCTGATCCTATCTTTCAATCTTCTTTAAATCCTCTTTTTGAGCTCGACTATAATGCGTTAACCTTCCTACCAAAAATCATCCTTGACTTTGGCATCTATAAACAATCTCCGGCAGCCAACCAAAACTTTCTCCACATCATTGCGGAGGATTGGTCTGATTGGGTTACGCTTTATACAGATGCATCAAAAACTTCTTCAGATGCCTTTGTTGGTTCTGCAGTTTGGATTCCCAAATTTAAAATTATACTAAGTTATAAATGCTCTTCCTACAAACTCTATCTTTTCAGGAGAATCTATTGCCTTATTAGAAGCGGTCTCTTATGTGGAATCTCATAAGCTTGATAAGGCCCTTATTTTATCAGACTCCTTGAGCTGCCTACAAGATCTTTTAAAAAATCCTTTCAAAGCTCGCAATAATTTCCCTATAATTCTTAAAATTAAAGAGGTTCTTCACAGATGCCTATTGTCTGGTATTGAAGTAGTTCTAGCATGGATCCCCAGTCATTCAGGTATAGCAGGCAATGAAACTGCGGACATCCTGCGCAAAAATAGCAGCTCAGACTGGATGCGCTAGCCACAATTCTGCTTCGCCCGAGATCTGCGCTCCCTAGCCAAACTTTCCTTGACTGAGTCCTGGAATAACACATGGCAAAGCAGTAGAATGATCAAGGGTAAATTTTACGGCTCTCTACAACCCTTAATTCCTGCTAGATCCTGGTTCTTCAAACAAAAACATGTTAATAAGTCAGCCACCTCTACTATAATTCGTTTACGATTAGGATTTGTCAGTACCCCCAGTTTTTTCTTGCCAAAAATTCGAGTTCGTGATCACTCTCTATGTGAGTGTGGTCTCGATGAAGGCACTCTGGAACATATTTTCTTTTCTTGTCCTAAATTGGTCGTACCTCTGTATGATCTACTCCCTCAACAAATATCCCGACCCGTTAATTTGGCTTATCTCTTAACTCTAGTATATACCCCATTTGTCAGGATTCTTTACCATTTTATTCGTATAAATAAAATAAATTTATAAAGTTTCCTAATACCTTTACTGCTATATTTTTTCTAATGTCCCTTTTTTTTTTTTTTTTTTCTCTACTGTCCCACAGAACCACAAACAGAAACTATTGAAATCACAACAATTCCCTCTTGGTATTCAAAATATTTTCAACCTATTAACTAATAAATCTACCTCCCACCTAGACATTGGCAAAATCATCGACATCCGATGGAGCCACTGAATTAAAGGAAGAAGAAGAAGAGGCTCAGGATCATTGTTTTCATTGAAGAAAATGCCTGATATAATAATAATCATTCCTTCTTAATAAAGTCTTAAGAAAGCTTCTATATCATGTTTTAAGTTTAAACTTCTCATAAAAACACAGACTTAAATTACACAATATATTTAAGACTAGCTGAATCGCGCAACTTCGTTTGCGTCTTTTAAAAGGAATTAATTTGCTCCGTTTTTGCAACATTCTTTATTGGTGCTCCGCTCCTATTGGTCTTAGCGTATGATACATAGCCTATAGCCTTCCTCGATAAATGGGCTATCTAACACTGAAAGAATTTTTCAAATCGGACCAGTAGTTCCTGAGATTAGCGCGTTCGAACAAACAAACAAACATACTTTTCAGTTTTATAATAATATTATAGATTAGATAATCAATATCACACATGGCCATCTGATCCCAAACTGGGCAGAACCTTTGCTATATGCCAGACTACTGGTAAACATACTGACGACCGAATGGCGTGGTGGTTTGTGTAACGGACTGCCATTCCAAAGGTCGTGGGTTCGATTCCCGCTCAAGTGAAACGTTTTTGTGCATGAACATTTAATGTTTGATTTGGTCTGGGTGTTTCTATGTATAATATGTATGTATTTACAAAATAAAAAAAGTATATATGTATTTATATCAGTTGTCTAGTACCCATAGCACAAGCTCTGCTTAGTTTGGGACTAGATGGCGTTGTGTGAATGTGGTAGATTATAATTATTATTATACTTAAACATTTCTAAATACATGCACATTATTACTTTTTGATGAATTTCATGTAAACTACATTTACTAATAGGGAGTTAATAAGTTATCTAAACAATTTAAAATTGATTCTGACACTCACTGCAATTCTCATCTTTTTCTTTGCAACTGGTTTCGGAACAGGCGGTGTAATAATTTGTGAAGTATTACTGTCCTTAGGTGGCGGTGGAGTCAATGTCTGAGGTTTGGGTTGTGGCTTTGCAACTATTTCAGATTTAACCTTTAAATCCTCCAGTGGCGATATAAGGTCGGCCTCGGAAATAGCCCTATCTTTTTTGCTTTGAGCTTCGTTTAGATACTCAAATGTCCTGTTAAATTCTCTGTTCAACTCTTCAAGCTCTTCCTGCAGATGTTGATCCATTTTTGGTTGATCTACAGTATTATTTAAATTAGGAATTTGGATTAATGCATACTGTCTAAATCCATGTGCGACAACTAGGGCTCTCTCCATGAACTCTTTGACTGCAGTTGGATTGGGGTTGAAAGCAAGAGGATTAGTACTAGGACAGTTTTGAGCGAGAGCCTTCATGCTCGAGTTATGCCATATTAGGCTGGTGGCTTCTTTTTGTGTTTTGATCCCTGCCTCCGCCACAAGACGTAAGCCCCTCAATACGCCTATTAGGTCGTTAATGTGCGACATTTTCTGAAAATTTGGTTTAGTCATGTTATATACATAGATAAATAATTGGATATATTTATAACAAGCAAGTTACATTAAGTTTTAGTTTTCTTAAGAATGATACCGTTTATGATTTAGTTATGATCATTAACTGGGTTTCAAAGTAACCCAAACTTGGTTTGTAAGATAGTTATATTTTTATTAACAAAGCAAATGGTATAAATGGTGGTAAAAGGATCAGATTAATTTCTATTTATTATGATGAGTTCGTCATCATCAGCCTATTGCCGTCCACTGCTGAACAAAAGCCTCCCCCAAGGAGCGCCAAACATATATATATATATATTTATTCATACTGAACTAATTTCAATTTTTTTACATTGAACTTTTTAAATGTACAAAGGAGATTGCCCATTTCAGTTTCACACTTTTTTTGCCATATTAAATATTTTAAAACCACATTATTAAACTTAATATCACCTAAAAGTGAAACCATGAATGGGCATTCCCCTTTATCTGGTCTGTGTGGTGCCGTCACCACACAGACCAGATAAAGTGGAATGCCCATTAATCCGTATTAAGAATATGGAGTGGTCACCACCCCTATTCATCCAGTGGATGTCGTAAGAGCCAACTAAGGGAGCAAACTACGCAGGACAACAGCACTGCAAAGAGATGGGAAAACTTGAAACTAACCCTATACCAACCCGTAAGGAGAGGCCTATGGTTGTTGATGATTTCTGCCATTTAACAAAGATAAATGTTCTCCTGAATGTTGTAACAATGTTTCACATGGCATGCTTGACTTACTCTAGCCATAAACAAAGCAACATATAATAGCATACTTTATTTCAAATACAATATTTATTTAGCTCTTTTTAAAAAACTAATGTATTAAGTCTGCCTGTAACGGTTTAAAATTTATATATTTTTGTAACAAGGTAACGTGAAAAACCCTTGAGTTATTAAACATCAAGTGAAAGTATGAACTTATATTTTTTGTTATACTATAAATTAACCTAACTAACTACGCAGGATAATAACACTGCAAAAGAGAAGGAAAACTAGAAACAAACATTATACCAACCCGTCTGGCCAGCGTGGTATAGTAGGCCAAAATCTCTTTTCTAAAGAGAGGCCTATGTCCAACAGTAGACTATTAAAGGCTGTTGATGATGATAATATAAATTAATGACGTAAATGAATGCATTAAAGAAATACAAAAGAACAGAATTCATCAATTCTAATCAACAGTGCAGTCTCGACAGTGGACTTGTTACAACTGACATATCTTAAATTTATAAATGTTGTAAAGCTTAATGTTATGTAGGTATATTGTATGGAAATGTGAGCGAAAAAGTTAAAAGTGTGGGCGCCGGTACTTATGCTTTTCAAGGTTATGTATTACCATTTATTGCATAACATAAAGGAAATATGAATTTTAAAAGCATTAATTAAGTGTTAATTTTAAGGAAAGCATGTGTTATTGTCTATTCAAATAAGATACCTGGAAACATAATAAAACATTAGGAATACTTACGAAAGTAATATTCCTTCACAAATTATCTTTCTATTGGTAACATGAATTTTGAACTTTTATTTAATACGTAGAAGTAATGCAGAAATTTCCTAGATTTCCAGGAAATTTTAGAATTTTCTACATTAATCTGACTACTAAAACTTGTCACAGCTAGCTGTCAAACTCAAAGGCACGGACGGAACATTGAATGTGAAGTGAACCACTAATTTGAAGTGAAAAGATCAAACGTCAACAATAAATACATGACATATTATTTTACTCTCAAATTCAGAGTACAAGCCTTTTCAGGCTAGAATTAATATTATCATACCTAACGTTTTTATCATCATAACATTATAGTAATAAATAAGCGAATGAACCATACTAAAAAATTTTTACCTTAATAAAGCAAACTAAAGTTAAATGAATAGGTCAGTAATTATGTATGGCTCGGATTCAAGCGGTCTGACGATGTCTGCCAGCAATTTAGGACGACACTCATGAGTAGGACAAACGAAAAAGGAGTATTAAACCGATGTCAACTCTGGAGACAAACGTCTTCATCATGATAAGAGATACCAGTGCGTTCTCTCGCCTTATGAATATCGAGAGAAAGTAGCATTGATATCAGCTGTGACCAGCTATAGTTTAGGGCGAAATTGTAAACAAATCTCTCTGCAATGATTGCATCGTACCGCGTAGTAGTTATTTCAACGGAAGTCTATATATTTTTCATCAATCATCTTACTACAAGACTGACTGATGAGGTTGTCTTCTCGGTTTGTCAAGATAGGAAGAATTTAGGTTAACGTGATCATGACGAGAGCAGTATCTGATAGGAGAGTTTTTGTCTCGAAACAAAAAACAATCAAGGGTCACAATTTGCCGGTTCTACAAGTGAAAGACAATGGCTTCCTATAAATAAAGTCAAAATACCCGGAAAACTCTTTTAGATGTACCTCAAATTTAATACTAAGGAACAGAGTCCCTAGTAGTTCAGATTTTATATTTCTTTTATTACGACTACTTTACCCTTTTATTATAGGTTTAGGTGGCATCATCGGTTACGTCCAAATAGCGGATGGTAAAAAAACAATGCAATAAATGGTAAAATCCTTTATTCTTAATTCTATTTCACAAATAAACACCAAATACCATTCAATAATTTAAACACATTAAATGCATAATACGTGAATACATCAAAATTAAGACTAACACAAATACACCATTCTGTTTATATAAATTAAAATACTTAATGTTCAGTATATATTCATTATGTATTTAATAAATGAAATGCACATTATATATAAACATCCCACAATACAAACAAATCTTTATTAAACTGATTAACTCTTCTACTTAATGTAACCTATTAGTAGGGGAGCCCTAGATGGGTTGAGTACCACCACTATACATGATCGTCTAGGGCAGACCATAAGATTAGTTAAAAAAACGATGGCAAAAAATACTAAATTTTTCGAATTTGCAGTTTGCATTTTCGATAATTCGCTTGTTTCACTTTAAAATCGTCAGACCTTTCAATAGGAGCATTTTTGGCGTCCATATAACATATCCCCAAAATATCTGACTCACTGAAAGTGGAAACATTATGTAACTTTTATTCATTGTATTACCTAATCTTTCAAATGCAATAGTTCCCCATGACGCTCGAGTAAAGCCAACATTTAGCATCATGGGCTCCCCTACTATTTATAAGTAAGCCAAAAAATAAAACTTATTGAGGCCCTGCATATGTAAGACACGACCTGAGAATGTCTTTGGACATGGGATTTCAACTGTTTCATCTTCTTTTGAATAGGATCGTAGGATACAATGGCAGCTATAAGGTCCCACACCCGCATATACCTCCCGTGATTCGATAGGAGCATTAAATGGCCTATTTAAAAAGTAAACATTTCTCTTAATTTCTTCATCCAATGATCTCTATGTCGGTCTTACAATAGTTACGTAATACATATTTTAAATTTAAACGATGTTCGATATAACGATAACTTGAAAGTTATTTAAAATTTAAATTCTTTTCACATCCAAATGTTAGATATAATTTTAATTTAACTCTTTAACTAGAAGTATAATCGTTGGTAACAAGAATTACAAGGGATGGGAAATTATGATTTTACTATATTTTATTAGTGTTTATATAATATATAAAAAGGACATACAGAAGAATAAACCTACCTATTATGACTAATAAACTGATGAAATGGATTTCACTTTAAAACTGCTAAAAAGTAATTTGGTATTTAGAATTCTTGTTATGTAATTAAATTTAAAGTAAAATCTTCATGTGGGTAGTTTGAACTTTGACTAATAAAACTTTATAACGTTATAGTCATTTAAGTAAACATTTTTTTTTATATCATCGGATGTAATACACACTGTCTCCAAATAACGAACGATCACTACTTAAATAAGTTTGAATTGCCTGACGTTTGAGCCACAATCCACTGGTTGCAATTGTCAGGTAGTGAGCACAACCTAAGTATCCTAGCTAACATTATAATACGTTTATTTCTAAAGCCTCCGCTTACACAACAACAAATTTTGCACACACAATGCCAGGAGTACATAAAAGCGCATAGGACACACATACAGGAAAACAAGTACAGTTTGCAATGGATGGAAAAACTAAACTTTAAAGCAAAAGTTACTAAGTAAAACGTAGTCTTAAGGTACAAAAGGGTATCAATATTGAACCTAAACCGTTTAAAATTATATTTAGCGCACATCAAGACAAACACCCATAGAAATAGCCATCAATAATATAAGATTATGTACTTACGCTATGTTCGTACTACATCGATCACAATGAATTCAAACATTGATTTGGACTTGTAATGTTATCATATTTTGCATTGAATATGTACTGTGTATTTAAATGTATAGATATATCGCTTAGTGTCATAAACATTTTAAAAATAACTAGTAGTTCCCCGCAGTTTTGCCTATGTTTTTAGTCACAACTCTGCTCCTCCATCTGTTCATACACAATGTATGAGATTATGATTTTTCAAACACGGAACCGCCCCCCTTTTCGGGGGGGGGGGGGGTCTTAAAAAAAGTCATAACATATTTTATAAAACAATTTTCCTATATATTCTAAGTAAATAATTAAATGATTAAAATAGTCTAAATAAATAAATAACTGATTGCAGGATTCTGTATTATGCAGGAAGTGTTTTTATTAATACCCAGCGGTTGGGAAAACAAAAGGTTTTCAAAGATACCGGACCCGAGTTTGCAATCTCTTGATGTTGCAAAGATCCATACAATGCGATAACCGCCTAACTATAAATAGGTTTTACACTTGCTCACTAAAACTAAATTTGAAAATAGAAACTAAATTGATTGGAAAAAAATTGTAAAGCCTAAAATTATTGGAATACGTTAATAAAACTATTTTCAACTAAAATGCACCTGCTTCCGGTTTTCTCTACATCACTCAATGGTTGACTGGCTTTAGGCATTAAGTCAACCAATGCACCCAATATGCATAATGCGTGTAAAAAGTAAAATAAAACTATCATAAAATAAAATTTGTCAATTACTTTCAAAGTAAATTGGAAATATCTAAACATACATACATACGGTATTGCTACCTTCTTTTTTGAAGTCGGTTCGAAAAACCAGTTCTGATCTTTCTTGTATGAAGATTTTCAATACATTACTAGTTTTAATCATTTCAAACTTTCGTTTAAAACCATCTAAGCGATATACCCACGTCTAAGCCTACATGTAGCCTGTTCAGAAAATCTAAAAAGCCTCCTTTCTGCAAAAAAAAATCTTAAAAAATAAAACGTTATAAAAAACCTCAGACATCTTATTTATGGCCTGCTGATCCCAAACTAGGCAGAGCCTGTATTATAGTAACCAAACTGCTGATAAACATACTTATATATTACTAAATACACCCAGACACAGAATAAATGATTGTGGTCAACACACAATATTGTCTTGGGGTGGGCATCGAACCCGACCTTTGGATTAACAGTCAGGGTTACTAACCACTGGACCAAATTCCGTGTAAAATTATTTTATAAGTAGTCACACTTAATTTGGCTTATGTCCAGCAGTGGACTATTAAAGGCTGTTGATGATGATGATGATGATGATTAAATTTAAATTAAAACCTAATTAAAACTTGTTTTATTTTCACATAAACATATTTCTATTACTGAATTGTTCTGTGATAAGTACGCCAAATACGTATTTATTTTAATTTATTAAGTTTTCAACTCAAATTAAATTAATTTTTAATTCTTATTTAATAATAAATATTGTAAGAAATAACGGATATTTTTCAAATTTCTGAACAGACAACATTTTAATAAATTGTTATTCATTGTTTGAACAATGTCAAAGGGACTTGGGTTTTCAAAAAAAATTATAAATATCCCAAAAAACCCCCTAATATGGTCATTTTTTTTAAAAACCCTGATCAAAACATTGTTTTAAAGTAAGTAATTTTAGTTTTTTCTGTTTCGATGGAGTCCTAAGAGACGAAGGGGTCTGGGGGAGAGCGTGCTGAGAAGACCCAAATCACGCATGTACTTTGTATTAAAAAAGAATTAATGATTTTTAAACAATAAAAAACGCGGGGGGGTCTAGGCCCTGGGTGGGACCAAATTATAACGAGGGCAAGAATGGGGAAAAAAAGTCTTTTTTCACTTTAAAGGGAAGGAGTTCTTCCAATAGCTAGAAACATTTAAATCGGGGAGAGCACCCTTTTCGTCAAAATGGGCCGGCTCAAAAACCAGGAAAAGCAACTCTTTTTTTTGTTTTTCACCGTTGTGAGTTCCGGGCCTAAACCCCCCTTTTCTGATTCTGGGGCAAAAGCTCAAGGAGTGGGGAGACACTTTTAACTTTTTTAGCTGCGGTGTGGTATGGTCGGTAGGTGACGGGACAGGTCGCGGGAGTCACTTACCTCAGGGGACACATCTGCTTATTCCCCCCTCCTCCCCTCTGTATACCATTAAAAATAGCTGGGGCAAAACCTTCAAAGACTGAGCGAGAGGTATAATTTTTTTTGCACTAAGAAACTTTTTACACGCTTTATATTACTTCACTTTAGTTTTTTTTTGTAACCGCTCCTTTGGGCGTGATTTTGACGCTTTAAAAAAGTCGAATTCGTTTAAACTTTGTAATATACCGGCCGATGACAATACACTAAATTAAAAAAAAAAAGACAACAGCCCCAACGCTTTTTTTCAAATTTATTAAAATTTTTTTCTATTTTTTTGTTTTGGGTTTTTTTAAAAAAGGGGTTTTTTTTTTGTTTTTTTAAACCATTATTTTTTTTAAAATTTTTGGGTGTAATCCTATCTTCGAGACGAAAAACTCTCCATGTCCAAAAGGGCCTTTAACCTACTTCAGGACAATCCCCAAACAAATATCAAATTATATTAGTCTAAGACAATGCCTAAAGGTAGAATTGGGAGAAAAAAATTATAACTGTACACCCAATTTAAACCCTTTCGCAAAAGAAAATAAAATGATTGATTGATTGATTGTTGATACAAAACTGTAAAGAAAAAAAAAAAATAAAAAAAAAAAAAAAAA